TCGTCAGGTTTAGTTATATCGTTATAATACTAAAAGATGAACCTAGACTGACGATCAAACTTAAGTTACTTACATCTTATCAATTTTATGTTTATTTAAGCTCTACAGAGTATTGAACACTTGTACAGAATTTTTTGTTTATATCTTAGTTACCTTTGTCAAACTCAGTGATTCTCAAGCGCCGTGCCTCGGCACACGAGTGTGCCACGAGATCCTCTTAAGTGTGCCGCAAACTATTGTCACGGCATAAATATATATGCGTGTGTTGAAGTAGTAATAGTATTTGAATAAATGAGTAAGTATTAAACTTTTTTTTCATATGTTTTCACTAGTTTTCGATTATGTTATTTTAATTACTTTGTTATAATATTCATTAAGAAATGTATAGCTGGCCACTCGTATCCAAGGATACCCGTCTACTAGTGCGGCTAGCCAATCCCTATTGCAGACTCTTACTCAGGCGTATTTGTGTTTATTCCACAGAGTCCACCTGTGGTATATACAACTATGCTGAGCAGACCTTAGTTACAGTTTCTGGGAAAGAGCGTGCCATCTAGCGTGATCAACAATTTGAACAAGGCCAGCACGTTCAAGCCCTCAGCCACAATGACTTGTGACTTCGTGCTAGCACAGCTATCGAAAAATTTGCTCCTAGGTGTGCCGTTGCTTAAAAAGGTTGAGAAACATTGTGCTAACTATACATGTGTTTATATGAGGTATTATTATTATTATTATTTCTTAAACCAACACTAATTTTGATCACCCTAATCGTTACATTTAGTGGTTGCACAGTACTGAGTAGACGTCCTGGTTTTATATATTTACTAGCAGCCATACTCAGCTGGTCAATCAGAAAAAAGCGTTCAATTAGAATGGAGCAAAATCATCATCATGCTTAGATGTAACAGAGTCTAAGTTCTTCAATTACTTTAAAGTACTTTCATTAAAAAACATTTTGAATTAATGCAGTTACTGATATAACAGAAGCAGTCTGTATTTATTCAATCGAAGTTAGCCGAGGACATGAATGGGTAAAATAGGCAACATGAAGACCCACTTCAGACCACAATTATTTTGGAGTTTTTGAAATTCAATTTGTCAATGTGCTACCAAGGATGTAAAAGAGGGTACATTTATAAAACAATTGTTAAGTTTCATGAAAATTGGTTGAAAGATCAACGAAAAGTGAGAAAGAAACCAGTAAAAATTGCTATTTACGCGGGTTTTCACTATATAGATGAACTCAGTTATCATGTTAAATGACTGTTAAACAATCAACTTATTGTTGGACTCAACTGAGTGAAGTTTCTATTAGATTGCTTGAAAATTGAGGGAGTTTTTAGTTTAAAATTTGTGTTGAAATCGATTTTTTGATTTTCGTAGTTTTCGCTAAACGCAGTTGAGTAGAAATAAAAATGAGGTATCGTTGAGTTCTTCATGATGTAAGTAACCTACATACCAAGTTTGAACGAAATCAGAGGAAAAAAGTTGAATTTATCGATTTTTTACGGTAAGAACCTGACTCTTACATTGTACAATGTATATACCAAGTTTGGTCAAAATGGGTTAGATGGATGTCGAGTGAAAGTTATCAGAGATATCCGCTGTTTTTAGGGTCCTCGACAAAATCCAGAGACGGATATGCAATGTGGTTGGCTCTGATCTGGCATCTCGTTTACAGTCGCTCTCTCACAGACGCGCCTCCCTCTGTCTTTTCTACAAATACTTTCACGGTAACTGCTCCGACGAGTTATTTTCGCTAATTCTCAAACTGCATGAATTTAAGTGTGCTACAAGGTCGGCATCTCAGTCCCACCCTTTCACTGTCGAAATGTTAAATGTAGCGGTCTCTTCTACTTCAATAGCTTAATGTCTCGCACTTCCTATCTGTGGAACTCCCTTTCTTTTACTTGCTTCCCTGATAGCTATAATCTCCAACAATTCAAATGCAATGTCAATCGATATCTCCAGATGCTTTGATCTATTCTCTGTTATTCTCGTCATCCTTTCTTCTCTCACACCTCTTTACTCCTGCTCCTACTTCCTGTAAACCCTTGTGTGCTAGTGGCACTTCCGTCTTGCTTGGGGTGAAAAGCTTAATATATATATATAATTCATAAAAAGTGAGAAAAATCTCTACCGATTAATTATCTACTGGTAATTATTTTACTATGAAAACGCATTGCTGGTATTTTCACTATAAAATGTATTTTTATCCACCTCTACAGGTTATTTTATGCCGAAATCTAAATATTTTGAACATAATTTTATGGCTTCAACTAAATATTTTGAACGCAATTGCATGCCTTCAACTAAAATGTATTTTTGGTCATTTTCACTATAAAATGTATTTTTGGTCATTTTCACTATAAAATGTATTTTTATCAACCTCTATAGGTTAATGCCGAAATCTAAATATTTTGAACATAACTTTATGCCTTCAACTACAGATAAAATGTATTTTTTGTCATTTTCATTATAAAATGTATTGTTGGTAAGTCTGCTATAAATAGGTAATGTTTGTAATTTTCCTGTAAAAATGTATTTTTATACTTACATAGTTTATGTAATCGCTCATACCTTGGATCCTAACGGGTGCTACCACTCCAGGTCAGAGTGACCCTAGGAACAAGTAAAAAGTAGTTCTACACTCCTCAAAACTTTCTGATCGGAAGCCTTGTTGCCGGATGTAGTTTAACAAACGATGTTTAATATGGAGGTATGGAATATATATTCAGTAAAATTGGGTTGTCACAAAGTCCGGTTAGAAAAACTGTATTGAACTAATTTTCCGAGGGGGTGGGGGCGCATTTATGACCTGAAGATCAGTCAGTCAAAATCCGTTTGTTAAAAAAAAAAACAATTATGACTCGGGCTGAAATGCTGAACTTTAGAAATCGTGGGATAAAACAGAAATATTCCCAGACAGGTCACAAATAAATGGAATACACAATTATAGAAAGTAAACACCCCAAACAGAATAAAATCCACACACACACACACACATTCTTTTTTTTAATAATCAAGAACTCTTTATTATTTAAGCACACACACCCATGCATACATACACACACAAACATTCAGACACATTTTTTTCTATTTAATAATAATTTATTATCACTTAAAGCTTACGTTGAAAACACCGTTTCTCATTCTATCGCAAAGTTAAGCAGTGTCGAACCCGGTCAGTACTTAGTTGGGAGACCGCTTAGGAACACCAAGTACTGTAAGTAACCTCTTACATTCTTGCATATGTTTCGGTTTTAAATAAGCTACAGAGGGTTGATAAGCCGTAAAAAACAAATCGGTCAATTAATCAATCGATCAAAATAGTCGATCGAATGAATGCTAATCTACGAAAATTGTTTGAAAAAGATTTTATTTTATTTTTTGCGGGGGGGGTGTACAAGCGGGACCAATTAATTTAAGTAGTGTCAAATATATCATCTGTTCTTCTTTATCATAGTTTGTTTAACGGCAGATCAACTGCTTATGGGCCATTTAATGCCGAAAAAATTTAATTTACTTGGGAGGTTAGAAGAAATAAAAATATATGTTATTCTGCTTTCACAATTGAATACATGGTAGATGATACTCAGCTTTTGTGCAAACACTTTACACAGAGCAAAATTTACACACACATTTTTTTAATAATCAAGAACACTTTGACATTTAAACGCACACACATCAATGCACACATACACACATACAAATATTCAGACACATTCTTTTTTATATTTTATATTAATTTATTATTATTTAAAGCTTACATTAAAAACATCCGTTCTCGTTCCATCGCCGAAGTTAAGCAGGATCAAGCCCGGTCAGTATTTAAATGAGGGACAACCGAGTTACTATACGCTATCTCCTACATATATATCACGGTTTTAAATGATCTATAAAGGATGGAGAAACGGTAAAGGAAAAACAACTTTATTATTTAAACACGTGTACAAATATTTCTTTCTTCTACAGAAAAAAGAACTAAGTAAACACCGGTGACATTTCTCAGATTTCCCTAACATTTTGAAAAAGATGGCGCTTGGAAGTTCTGCAGTAAAACACTGACCGTTGGATGGTAAGGCTTATATTTATCCGTATTTTTCCCCTTGTGTTTTGATTTAGGACTCTCGCAGACCAAGTGTCATGTCTTATAATCCCCTCCCCCGACAATCCTGAAATGACAGAGCACTGATGTCACACCCTGACTCTAAACACGAATGCACTGATCTCCTAGAATTGAGCATTTGCCTGAACCTGAATACTGACAGAAAATATCGGAAAGTATCATATTTGACAGCATATAAGACGCACTTTTTTCTTTTTTAACTAAAAAGATATTTTAAAATTCCCCTGCGTCTTGTATGTCATATGTAGGTTTACTAATTTTACTAATTACTAATCTTTTTCTTGATTTACCCTGCTGAAACTGGGGTGCGTCTTATATACCATCAAATAGGGTAAATCACTACAGATGCGCCGGCGAACGTCCACCCGGTGAAACTCTTCAACAGCAAGAACAGAACTTTAGGCTTCTTTGGTTTTTAACTAAGTATTCCACGAGTTAGCATATTTTTTTTTCTAGACGCCAACAAAGTTGAAAGTGGATTTGAAATACCTAAATAAATCTCAATATCCTCAAGGCAGATCAGCTATTTTTTGCTGAAATGACGTGAGTTTTTATCTGTAAGTAAAAATATTAGTAATTTAAAAAAATTGTAATTTGAGATTACATCAGTGCAATTAGATTCTTTTATTGCGTCAATGTGACGGTGCGTTACTCAAACCATATATGATCTTTCATAAGAAATTTGAATCTGTAAAGTATATATATATATATATATATATATATATATATATATATATATATATAGATATATATATAGAGAGAGAGAAAGGAGAGAAGGAAGCAGTCAGAGGCAGAATAGATAAGCAACAAAAGAGTAAGGGACAGGCAGACAAACAGACGGAGAGAAAAAGGGAAAGGAGGAAACAGTGAGTCAGAAGCGATAAACATCGGGAGAGACAAAGAGAGAGAGAGAGAGAGAGACCTGGATAGAGAGAGCGAGAGAGAGAGAAGGAAACAGTGGGAGAAAGTACCGATAGGCAATAAGAATGAGCGAGACAGGCAGAAACAGAGCGAGAAAGGAGGAAACAGAGAGAGAGAGAGAGAGAGAGAACCGATAGGCAACAAAAGAGAGATACAGGATCAGAGAGAGAGAGAGAGAGAGAGAGAGAGAGACAGACAGAAAGAGAAAGAAACAGAAGTGAGAAAATGATAAATCAGTCAAGTGATAGAGAAAAACTGAGGAAGTAAGACGCTGAGGAAAAGAGAGAGAGAGAGAGTCAGACAGATGAAGCCAGTGTGAGAAACAGCTTAAACAAGAACGGGAGAGAGAGAAAGAGAAAGAGAATATGAAGGATAGGAAGGAAAGAGAGTAAGAGGGAAAATGTGAAAAAGAAAAATTAAAAAATGTAAAAGCTAAAATGAGTACGAAAAAGAGTGAAAAATATTATTGAGTGAGGGAGGGTGTCTCTGACGTAGAGAGAGAGAGTGAGCATGCGTGTTTGGTATAGAGAGAGAGTCTTTTGTTGTGTTTTGTTGTTGATGTAGAGAGGGGGGGCTTTCCATGTAAAGTGAGAGAGTGTGTCTGTGTGTCATATATATATATATATATATATATATATATATATATATATATATATAGAGAGAGAGAGAGAGAGAGAGAGAGTGTGTGTGTTTGATATATATATGTATAAAGAGTATGTGTTTGATGTCGAGGGGATGTATGTTTGATATAGAGGGAGAGAGAAAGATTGTGTTTGATACAGAAAAAGTTTCATGTAAAGAGAGAGAGTGTGTTTTATGGAGAGAGAAATAGAGTGTGTCTGATATATATATAGAGAGAGGGAGAGGGAGAGGCAGAGAGAGACAAACAGTGTTTGATGTAGAGAGAGAGGGAGTGTGTGAGTGTTTTTGATGTAGAGGGTGCGCGTGCGTTTGATGTAGCGAGAAAGAGAGAGAGTGTGTCTGAGAGACAGATAGTGTGTGTGTGTGTGTGTGCGTGTGTGATGTAGACAGACAGATCTGTGAAAAAGAAAGAAAGAAAGAAAGATAGAAACGTTCTCCCCACTCAGTCATGAAGCAAAGCTACTAACCTTTTAAAGGCTTTTCTTTACTTAGAGACTTTTGTCAAGGAAACATATTTTTGCCTATTGATTCTTCCTCATCGTTTAATTTCATTATATTTCCAAGGGCTACACTTACTTGCAATTACATGAATGTCTCTTCTATCAGACAGACAGTCCCAAGACAAAAGTCTCTCATACGTAACTGCCGTGAATGCCAATGACATCTTTTGTAAATTCGTGTAAGGCTAAATTTTGTCTGTGTAGCATATGAGTAGCACAAAACAGCCTAGCCAGTACCGCTAACAATATTTACTACCCGCAACATCCTACTTCACGCTAGCGCATATGGCACATGGTCTTTTTAATGTAGAGTGCTCATATGCGTACATGTGGGCGCTGGACAAAAATTACCCAGTCCCGATGGTCAACGCCCTCTCTTAAGCGCAGTGAGAAAGGTGGTGCCGCAGGATTGGAATCCCTGGCGTATCCATCAAAGTTTTCCTTTCATAAATTGTCCGATAATAGAACACAACAGAGTTTGGTCTGGTTTGTTTTGTTTTACGGTATATCAACCTCAATGGATTATTTAATGCCGACAATCTATTTCTGGTAATATTTTTTTTTTTCAAAAATATATTGCTGGTAATAAATTTTTACAAACTTTTACTTTTATAATGCTTTTTACCTCAGTTTCGAGGTTAACTATTTGCCCATAGCTGGGACCCTAACAGGTACTACCACCCCGGGTCAGGGTGAACCTGGGAACACCAGCAATTAAGAGGTGGTTCCACGCTCCTCAAAACCTCCTGATCAGAGGCCTTGCTTTTGGACGTAGTTTATCGTCTTACCCAGGACGCGGATGCAGTTTATATTCATACCCAGGACGGAAACAAAACATAGACAAGAAAGGGCAGGTACAGGTCATCGTCGACTTACGACCATGGTTGGTTACGACCGACAGGTTGTAAGTCGATCTGGTCGTAAAACTGCCTGCAATTTATTTGTCAATCTTTTTTTTTTTTTTTAAATCTCTCTTTAGTTTTTATTGTATTTTTAAAAATAATTGTTACGGTTTTTTTTTTACGTCTGATACAGTTTGTATGATCTCTACACATCGTTTTATTGGAGGTCAACAGCCTTTCTTTTCTTCTTCGCAGATTGAGGAGTGGACAAACACGGTTTCCTCTTGGTAGACAACTTGAGAGTTTTTTAAAGAAAAATTTCAAAGACACAAAACGGACTTGGTGGGGAGGGGGAGGGGGTAGTGTGCTGTACCACGGCTGCCCTAACAGTGAGCTTGAGACAAGCAATGGAATACTAGTGCGGCCGGGAGCTGGGGTGAAAGCTGTCGTACACAAAGCAGGGAAACGCTCACGCCAGGCACAGCTATTCGTGGTCATGGTGGAAAGCTTGCACAGTCGTAAGTCGACAACGATTCCAGCTCGAAGATCGAGAAAAGCCGTTCTGGGATTTACTCGCCGAACATGACAAAAAGAACGTCTTCTTGAAAATGTACACCCTTGTGCAAATTAATGGAAACAACCACTTTAGTTACCTTTCTTTCACCATACGGTCGGTTTTTGTCCCACTGGAGTGACAGGGTGTAATTAATTTCTATTTTTTCCTTAGATTAGGTCATTTGCTGTGATGTGCAGTAATATGCATCTATTTTCGGGGTCTATGATGAAATTTGTTTGGTCTTGAAAAATATTGCATCATCCGTGATTGCATCAGATTTACATCAAGCCCAGGCCTTATTGTCACGACTGTCGATTAGTTGTCCTACGGCCATTGTTTTCGATGGGCGTTACTCCAAGGAAGCGTACGAAAGTTGTAACGCTGTACAAACACACTGGCAATCCTTACCAGTGGGCAAATGAAAGTACTATAGACTGGCACAGAAACATTCCTGGTTTCAATCCAATCGAGAATCCGAGATCAATCTGAGAGGAACCACTTCGTGGAATGGACATAGGAAGTACTAACATGAGCAATGGGACTTGCTTAATTGGAAAAATACGAAAAAAGTAAATAATAACGGAATTATCCGTTTTGTTTCAATTAATTTGCACAAGAGTGTAGATTACACAAATATTGTAACGAGCCAAGAGAAATTCTAGGACAATTGGATTCAGTCTGTTCGTAGAACGGGTATTCAGCTAGTTTAACAAACATTTAAGCAGCCTACTACCTTGCCAGTTTTGTATAAACTTACGACAAGAATTGTGCATGAACAATAGAGAAAATACCGGGTATTGAACTCACACTCTTTGGGTCCTGTCACTGGATCTAACCAACGCCTTTATCCACTGTCTCATGTGTCCTCGTTTAAGGCAGTGGAGAACTTGGAGAGGGTAATTAACAGGAGAAAACTGATAAATGACATCCATTAAACATGGCAAGTGGAACTAGAACAGTCTACCCTAGTGAACGAAATAAAGGGTTCAGTTCGACATTCCAACCACCTGAAGAAGGCCGGAGCGTACAAGGGCTGAAACGTTGTAATAAATATGGCGACAAAGATGAGGACAATAGTCCGAATAATGTAAATAGTGTACATAATACCTCATCTCAGGAAAACAGATACTGAAGATTTCTGTAATTTCAACATCTAGAATATATATATATATATATATATATATATATATATAACAGAGGTTTGACACCACAGAACTTATATAGAGATTTGAAAATGCAGGAAAACATTCTTCTTTAAGGGTCATTTTCAATCAACACATCGTCAGAAAAATACGTTGGTAAATATTAAATTGACAGAATAACAATTTGTACTGCTGAAGCGAAAAATATAAAGGAGAAAAAAGGAACCCTCAGCTAAATTACAAATTTTTCAATAAAAGCAAGGGGGGGGGGAATATACTAGCGCGCACGCATATATATATATATATATATATATATATATATATATATATATATATATATATATATATATATCAAATGACAGAAAGGAAAGATCGAGTAAAAAAAAACTCCACAGTTTGTAGCATGTTTTTTTAATAGTGCTCAATGCAAAGTAGAGAAAAATAATAAGAATGGAAAATATTAAAAACTATAACCTGTAAATCCTTACATTATCCCTGTCCCCTATGTTTAAAAATTGCATATTATAAACTTTTCTAACAATAAGAACCTATTAAACCAAAGAATTGAAATAACGGTGAAATGTCGCCATTGTCTACATTTTACCTTAAAATATATTTAATTTTTTTTCCATAAATAATTAAGTATTATAATTGTATAGACATTATTTTATTAATATATAATGGTCTACCTAACATTTCTTTGATTTATTTAACTATAATATTCTGAGGTTTTACCGTCTATTTAGTATAATTAACAACATATATAGTTGTTTCCACATTTTTAATTTTACCCATAGGCCCTTTTAAGAAGCTTCCTGAGTATATTTAAAAAAAAAAATTAAATCCGTTTCTAATAAATTAATGTCTACTTCAACAAATCGACAATTCATTCTTGGATACACTAATAATACATTTGTCGCTGAAATTCCTAGTATCTTTGAATGACATGTCTAAGCATCAGTTTTCTTGACATGTACAAAATAACCCACCCACCTCCACTCTCTGACCTTATTTTTACATTTTAGCGTAGACCTGACATTCATTGGTTAATATAGACATACCCAAATGTTATATTTTTAATTCTAAACATATGCCCCGCCTTTAACATACGAATATATTTGTTTTTTTTTAAATTTCTCTAATAAATCATTTTTATCACAAGTCATCTACCATCGTCTGAAGAAGTACTATCATAGTACTGAAACATGAAAGTTTTTGTGTAGCGATGTAAAATGGTTTTATTGTAATTTGTATAATAAAAATATAATAATGATAATAATAATAATAATATATATATATATATATATATATATATATATATATATATATAGATAGATAGATAGATAGATAGTAAGGTAATGAAGGGTTTGGTAATCCGTATAGATAATCCCAAAGATGATGTAATCCAGATAGCTCAATTTAAAAACAAAGAAAATATTAAATAAATAATTAAGAAAGAGACAACCTTAAGGTTCCATGACTATAATTTATTTCTCCAGAAAATATATTTTCCTGGTTCATCAGGTCACAACTCAAGTTACAAAGGAATTTGGTTTGTAAGCCAAATTCCGATGTGATCTGATGAACCAGGAAAAATATACTTTCTGGGGAAATAAATTATATCATGTAGCCCTGAGGTTGTCTGTTTTTTAATTTAATTTAATTTATATATGTAAACAGAAGTTTGACACCACAAGACTTATATATACAAAGTGTTGGTTGAAAGGAATGCTTAAAGGAGAATGCTTTCCTGTATTTTCAAATCATATATATATATATATATATATATACAGAGAGAGAGAGAGAGTGGGAGGGAGGAAGAAAGGACAGTTCAAAAGTTTGTCATCCGTGGTAATTTTTTAAATTGCCTCCAAAAGTAGTTGTTTTGTACGTTAAGTAAGAGAACATTATTACACATGGTTAAAACAAGTGAGGCATAATTTTTATTAGAAATTTTATTATGAAAAAAATGAAACAAAAAAATTTTACTATTAAATTTTGCTCTCGTCAAAATATTTTCCTTCAGCTTTGATTTACTGCAGCATACATTTTTCGCATTCTTTGCAAAAGTTTCTCAAAGTATAAGCTTGATAATTGATTCCATTATTTTTTCAGTGACTCTAAGAGTTCTTTTTCATTTTGGGGAAGGAAAGGTTCCACTCTTCTGTCAAATTCATCCAATGCTAATTCTGAGACTAGCTTCTAACCTTTTGAACTGTAGTGTGTATATATATATATATATATATATATATATATAAAGATGAGTGCCTGTGCTATTCTTTTAAATTTCTTTAAAACCAACCTTATTTCTTCATCAACAAAATGTTTTGGAAAATTAATATTGACAATAATTTTCATATTAATGGAAAATGTAAAGGATTAAAATCTTTCAGAAACATTTGAAATTAACTGTTCTACAATTCACTTATGAACTCAACTTTAAAAATAGAATCACTTTTCTAGATTTCATAATAGATGCTTATAATGAGGATTTTATGATTCATTATATATGGAAAAAAACACAGGCAAATAATTACGACTTCTTAAATACAAAAGAACGAACTAATGTCATAACAGATATAAAATACGTTACACAAACTTGATTTATCGTTCGAAAATGATTTCCTCTTCGGATACATTGTTTTACAGAGAATTAATCGGGTGACAACCAAAGTGGGAAGTAGAATCGATTACGTCCTCGCGAGAAGATTGAACGTTCAATGACATTTCTCGAAACCATATACTCTCCAGGGCCGAGGTTAATTTGACGAAGTCCGGAAGTGCATAAACATTTATTATGCACACGTATGTATCGATATGTATCAAAACTGCATAGAATTTAAAAATGGAAACAACTCCAGATTATTCCACTTCAGAATATTTCTTATGAAGGTAAATGGTTTTCTCATGGTTCCTTCTTTCATTATATATATATATATATATATATATATATATATATATATATTGCAACATTTACCTGTCCCTAACCTCTCCCTTTATATATATATATATATATATATATATATATATATATATATATATCTATCTTTTGCAACATTTACCAATCCCTAACCCATATCGTCTATTCAAATATATCTAAATTGTAACGGAGTTCAGAGCAGCAGTAGATCTTAACGTTTATTCCAACTTGATTTCAACAAAATAAATAAAAAAACATATGTATTTTTTCCTCAGTTTCTTCTTTAAATAATTTTAGAATTTTAAACTTAGATTAAATTTAAAATTGGTAATTTTTAATTTTATAGTATAATTTAATATTTATTAGTTAGAATTAATTCTATTTTAGTCTAACCCTAACATTAAAGTATTAAATAATTATTATAATCTTAGTTCGTTGTCAAGTTTTTTGAATTCTCGTATACTTGTATTTTGATTGGTCATTCCAGCTTATGTAACAGCGTTTCCCTTATCGAGGGTTGTTTGATTGATTTGAATCTTTTAAAACCCTTTATTCTACATTCAACACCATCACTTAATAAGACACCAGAAGTGTTGAAACAAAATGGCTATTTTTGTAGTGATTTTATAAAATATTTATGTTATAATTTTCGATTAAATGATTATATAACCCGCGTAGAAAACAAAGTTTTTAATAATTTAAACAAACTCTCAATATATGCCAGATATATTAACGGAAAACCTTAAAGAAACATTTGAAATTAATTCTGTTCTACAATTGACTTACGAACACAATATTAAAAATGCAATTCCTTCCCTGGATGTCCTATTAGATTCTAATAATGAGGATTTTCCATTTCAATATGGTCCATTTCCAAAGAATGTTTTTTTTTTTTTTACTTATTAAACGTTCTTTTTAGTTGATAATCCCATTTGACTAGACGATTCGTTTATTTATCAAACACTATATTCATTTTCCTCTAGCGGCTTGAAAATTTTAATCTTATTAAAGGAAGATAAGCGATCCCTGGCATGATTCGAACCTGCGTCCGCCAGGGCAGAGAGTAACCGTCTTTAGATCCGACGTGCCCTAACCGACGCGGCCGCGAAGGAGCTTTCCTGATCAAACAAAATCTGAACGAGCGTATCTTTTTCTTTAATAGAATTTCTCTAATAATCAGGCTCGTAGAAGAAAATAAAAAATATACTGTTTCGACCGTTGTGCCCTCCGACCTTCCTCATGTGTATATCGATCATACAGGGAATTCTGAACTGAACCCTTTATTAAATCTACAAGGGTAGACTGTTCTCATTCCAGAGCCCATGTCTAGGAATATCTTTCCTGGTTCTTATTTTTGGTACTGTTCAGTTATTATTCACCCGTTGCCATTGAGTACACGTACACATTGCCCAGTCCAGGGATTGAACTCACAACTACTGTCAACAAATTCACGAACCAACGTTTTAATCTACCAGGTTATTGTCTTGTTCAGACAGAAATCAAAAATACTTGTTCGTTTTTTTTAATTTTTTTTATTTTTTGTTTTACCTATTATTATTATTATTATTATTATTATTATTTTAAATTAGTTAAAAACATTGTCAGGAATATCTCTGTTCAGTTTTTACTTTGTGGTTCCTGCAAACGTGAAAAATGTTTTCTACGGCCCTTGGGTTAAGGAAGTCGTGCCACTCCTGTTTGGTATGCTGTCAGTAAAAGCTAGATTGTCATCAGAAAACAAAAACAGTTATTCATTTAACAAAACTGAGACTGTCCTTGATGGCAAGTCATAAATCCTACCTTGTGTAACTCTTTCACGTTCCAAGTAGGTTTTGTTCTTCCATGATAAATATTTTCCTATAATACTGGTTTCAAAAAACCTCCAACTCCCACCCTCTCTATCTCTCACACACACACACAATATATATATATATATATATATATATATATATATATATAAGACATTTTTTATGTTTCTACGTTCTTTTTATAGATACAAATATTTAAGTAAATGCTCTGTTCATAATAAACAGTATTAACAACATTTACCGAGAAATTTTCATAGAAAATATGCGTCCTCCGATAGGAATCGAACCTGTATCCTGTACAAAACCGTCATATAGCCTGATATGCCTTAACCGATTGGGCCACAGAGGAACGTTCGGTTAGCAACGTCGATTTTACTGTATTTAAATACAATTCTTCATGATTTTCTCTCATAATTCATATCTGCTCAATGCATATCCAAATGTAAACAAATGACGTCACACATTATGACAATTATTTACTTTTTTTATATATTTTAAGAAATTTTTTAATGTTTATTAACAGAGCATTTACTTAAATATTTGTATCTATAAAAAGAACGTATAAACATAAAAACTGTCTTAAAAAATAATTGTCGGACTTTGTCCATTTCATAATGTGTGTATATATATATATATATATATATATATATATATATATATATATATATATATATATAAATTGGGTGTTGGGATAATAATTAAAAACTTATAAGTTCCTGATCAAGCCAAATTCATATTCATGAATAATTATATTAGACAAACTGCTACATTCCTACTATGCAGACACACGTCTGACCATACCTCAATTAAAACCCATTCAATCACATACGGAATCTTACAAAATCCGTCCACAACCTACTCGTAGAAAGTACTACTATAATAGTCTGATGCACTTATAAAAATAATGGAAGCATTAAAAAAAGCAACATTCAATAATATCAACAATGAACACGGCCACAACATACGGACCGTGATTGTCAAATTAAAAATAAAAATTCCCACCACTAAAGATATATATATATATATATATATATATATATATATATATCTTCACTTAGAAAAAAAACAAAACAAAAAAACAGCCCCTTGATAACAACTAAGAGAATAGCCGAAAGCGCTCGAGTATATGACCAATAGTCTGCAGTTTTGTGTGCACACACAGAAACACACACAAATATATATATATATATATATATATATATATATATATTACTAGGCGAATAAAATCTGATAGATAGAAAATAGACAAGTGAATAGGTTCAGATTGATAGATAGGTAGACGAATACATCCAGATAGATAGATATGAAGGGACTGAGGTAGACAGACGGACAGATATGAAGGCACTAACACAAACAGATAAATATGAAAGGACTAAGATAGATATGTAGAGAGAAGTAACTGAGATATGAACAGTTTCAGATAAACAGATGAAGAAACTTAAAGAGATATGATCACATATATAGATAATAGCAGACGCTTATAAATATATAGATATATAATAACCGGTTCACATATATATATATATATATATATATATAAAATAACAGGTTCATATGGATCGGCAATGAACAAAGATAGATATGAACAGCTTCCGATAGATAGATAGATAGATAGATAGATAGATAGATAGATAGATAGACATATGCAGATAGATAAATATAGACGAATACATCCGCATAGATAGAAAAACGTAAAGATTCAGATAAATGAACAGCTTCCGATAGATAGATAGATAGATAGATAGATAGATAGATAGATAGATAGATAGATAGATTCTGATTGATAGATAGAATGCGAGAGATCGATAGATAGATGAACAGATTCCGATAGATATATAGATAGATATGGAGAGAGAGAGAGAGAGAGAGTGATAAACAATGGGGAAAACATTGGTGTCCCATTAAAATCGAAATGAAGTGAAAATAAATGGCATAAGAGCAAAAGGAAGGAAATCCTGACGTTCGTTGAATAGAAACGGAAGGCGTGAGGGTCAGCGAGACAGAGAGAAAGAGAGGGAGAGGAGTAGATGAGGGTAAAGGTTGGTCTGGTCTGGGTGGCAGGTGTGTGTATCGGGAACAGGCAGGAAAATAACAAAGGCTCGTAAGTTAAGCAACACGGAACATCTGTCTAAAAAAAGGGGGGGGCAGTTGACGTGGACTTGGTGGGTGCGTAGCTGGTAGAAAAGGGGACTTTGGAAAAATAAAGGAAACTACATAGTCAAATCTTTTCCCCGTTTCAACCAGGTGGTAAGAGAAATAATAATAATAATAATAATAATGACAACAACAACAACTACAGAGAGCACAACAACATGGACAAACGAAATTACAAAAAAAACTGAGAAGACAAGACGTTGCAGGGCAAATACCTAAAAAGAACGAAAGGAGCAGATGTGGACCAACAGAAAACACATCAGTGGCTGAGGAGCACTGGGCTGAAAGCTGAGACAAAAGGCCTAATTATTGCAGCACAGGACCAAGGCCTCGCAACCAGATCCTATCACATAATCAAGGATGGAACTAACCCGAAATGTGTAAAATATGATGAAACTGTCGACCATATTATCTCAGTATGTCCGGAACTGGCAAAAAATGAATATACCCATGGACATAATAAGGTAGCGACATGTGTGCACCAGGAGATATGCAAAAGCACAATATCGAAACCACTGAGAAATGGTATGAGCACCAACCAGACACAGTTGCCCAAAATAATGATGTAACTATCCCCTGGGATATGCCAATTCAAACTGACAGGGAAATAAAATCCAACAGACTTGATATTATTATAAAAGACAAGAAATTCAAGAATTGTATGCTTATTGACATAACAGTATCAGCTAAGAGAAAAACCTCCATGAAAATTATCGGGAAATTGTCCAAATATAAGGATCTGGAGATCGAGATTAACAGGATGTGGGGAATGAAGACTGAGACTGTACCAATAGTAATCGAAGCTCTGGGTCTCGTGAAAAAAGGAATGGACAGTTTTACTAACAGTGTCCAAGGTAACATCAACATACAAGTTGCCCAGAAGGAACATCCCATGCCATATACTAAGAAAAGTGCTATCAATTAAATGGCAATTCTCCTATAGGACCTAAGGACCATAGTTCGGACCCGACTCTACAGGATAAAAAGCAGAAAACATAGCACACACAAATAATAATAATAATAATAACAATAATATTAATATTATTTATAATAATAATAAACCAATTATGATGGAGAATGAATGAAAGATGGTGCTATGACAAAAATTAAAAGAAAAGTTTGAAACGTTTCTCTATTTTTGAAATGTCCCCATCATTTATGTCATGTTTTTCCATGACATTGGTGATCACGGCTCTCCACAGTTTCCTGCCGCTTGTAGTAACCTTTAACTCTTTACCAATACCTTCAAACCTAACTCCTTTTCCCATTCACATAAACTTACATTAAGTTACTGTTTCCTTCCATTTATCAAGTCTTGTGAGTATTAAGTTTGCCAAGACATCCTTCCTCATAAAATGTCTCAGAAATGTCAACTGTCTCTTTTTGATTTTACAGAATCTTTCTAGTTTCTGTTTTCTGAGAACGTCCCCTTTGCTTACATAAAATTCTCAGCCACCTTTTATTGGGTTACACATCTCTTGTGTGATTTCTTCATATGTAAGAAAATTGTTCAGCATTCATTGCCATGCAGGAGGATTGACATAGCATAACAATTCAGAACTCTTTTCTTTCTTTTCAATGAAACATTCCTATGTCTTAATACTTTGCTTCGTTTGTAGAAGACTTCTTTCGCTATTCTGATGCACTTGCTGATAAAAAATCTATGAAATATCTTGGTTGATATTATCTGGGATCAACGTTATAAATCTTGATGACTGAGCAACAAATTCCTTCTCTCCTCTTTCAATATTCTTGTCATTATATTTTCATTTTTTTAATGCCATGTCCCTTCAGGATAACACTGATCATGGCTCTCCACAAGTTCCTTTTCATTATTATCTATGAATTGTCATTTCCAGTAAAAAAAAAAAAAATAGTAAAATGGTCTCCTCTTTGTTTTATTGGTGGTTTAGAATTCAGAATTTTCTCTCTGAAACTGCAGACCATCTAAGACAAGCGAGCCCATTCCATGCTGACGTTGAAACAGCGGTTGTCGTCTGATTGCCGAAGTTAAGCAACAATGAACCTGGCCAATGCCTAAATGGGTGACCGTTCGAGAATACAAGGTGCTGCAAGCTTGAATGTGCCGGTGGTTTTATGGTTGGAGTGAGAAACCAGAAAGCCTAGTTCGAATTCCAATCGGGTTCATTATATTCACATGTGCAAATATCCTTGGGAAAAGTATGAATCCGCCATTCTCCTCCCAGTTATGGGTTAAATAATAAGATTTGAATCATTATTATTTCAAAAAAAGAAAATTCTTACAATCTAAAAATATGCTTCAGCCTTAACTTAAAAAGGTTGATAAACCGTAAAAAAAACGAATCAGTCAAAAACGCAAAACCAGATGCATCCGTCAGCACCAAGTAAAACCTGCACATAGTTTCTTTAACCTGGTATGATATTGCGTGCAAAGCCAATTATTGCACCATACTAAACATTTGTATGTGGGAAGTATAATTACAAAGTTATCAAGCGATACAAAACTCTGTTTCGGTTTTAAATAACCTTAAAAAGGTTGATAAGCCGTAAAAAAAAAACATTAAAATACACATAAAAATTCTATTTAAATGACGTCACCTTGAGTGACTTGAAACTGAATTTGTTTTCTGCAAAAGAGTAAACACCGGAATTATCCCAAAACAGTTCCATAAAACACAATCCCTGAAAACAAAGGTAGCAACATTCGAAAATACTTGGGCTTGAACTTTCTTCAATTTACCGATTAAGTCATTTTGAAATTTGAAAAAATTGATAAAAATAATCGAACAGACAGAACTTACTCAACAGAAACAGAACTCAACGAAATATATATATATATATATATATATATATATATATATATATATATATATATATATATATATATATATATATTATAATAAAAAAGAAAGAACAGTAAGATATATAATCCGGTGTTCTTATTGATATTTTAATTCTTACAAAACAGTGCTCAATGTAAATTTACAGAGCAGAAATATTATAAATTAACTGATTTAAAATATGGTTTCTTCGCTACACAGGAATAACCACGATGATTCTATGAGACACTTATTTTGTAGAGGACAGTTATGAGGATTTTCCTGTATACTTGAAAACAAAAAAGCATGAATTGTATGTGCGTTTAAAACTCAGTAAATCTAAAAATGAGTTATCCTAAAATTCGCTTGAAAATGAAACAGAACTAATGCTTTTAATTATATAAAATTAAATTTGAAGTTATTAGCTTCGGTTTTTTTGAAACATGGTAATTCCTGTGTGAAAAGAAACCATATTTTAAATCAGTTAATTTATAATATATATATATATATATATATATATATATATATATATATAAATAAAATTAAGCTATCAAATTCTGAAGACGTTTGTCGAGGAAGCCATATAGAATCAATTATTTCAATACGAGCTGCAGTAGACGCCTGCTTCTTTGATTGTAGCTGGTTATAATGACACTAATATTGTAACTATGAGTTGACAAAATTCTGTCTGAGTCAAGTTATGCGAAACTACTCGACATAAACAGTTGTGAAAAGTCGGCCCACATAACTTCTAATGCCAAGGAGAAAAATGAAAATGGAGAACTAAGAAATATCTGTTTTACGATATATCGTCATTAGTCGCATGCGTCAAGGTTCATTTTCAGCGACACTGAATAACACAGCGAGAAAAAGAAAGAAACTGGGTTCCTGGAAATTTCCCAACGAAGAAATACTAAGAAAAGTAGCAAGAATTGTTTAAGCTAAATTGGTTATGCAAAAACTGCTTTCCTTGAACCATATATATATATATTGATACTTTCAAAAGTTGTTGAAAGGATTTGCATGTATATGTATGTATTTATATATATATATATATATATATGTATATATGTATATATATATATATATATATATATATATATATATATATATATATTTATATATATGTATGCATATACATACATACATACATACACACACACACACATATATATATATATATATATATATATATAGAGAGAGAGAGAGAGATCCTTTGAAAGGATCAATAAAATCTGAGGCGAGTCTTTTAGGGTTTGGGGATATTGTTGTACACAATGTTTAGTCTGGCTGTTCTGCACCCTCATACATCGAAAACGACAGAAGAGTCTAGTATATATATATATATATATATATAGAGAGAGAGAGGCAGCAGAGCATTTGTGCAGGAATTTTGGTTTGTATAATTTTCATTAAAAACAACAAAATTTTCGTTTTACTGATACTTTCAAAGGATTTGAAATGGAGTATATATATATATATATATATATATATATATATATATATATATATATATAATGTACTGAGGCAGCAGATCATCATTCCAAAATATATTGTTAAATATAAAAGGCAACGTTTGTCTATTATGCTTGACCATGAGCAATTCTAATCTTTGTATAATGACTTTAGTTTCTGGAGAAAATAAAGACAAAAACTGTCCAACATTTGAATATTTTTTTTATGTAGTTCCTCGATCTAAGCTTTTGGCTCACATGAGCCATCATCAGAATGGTTATATGGGCATTACATCAGGGGAGGTTCACCATCAAAGATGACATTCTGTTATCTTTACATAGAAGTTTGCTATGCGACGATAACGGTCGCGGAATACCAGACGCAGGTCGTAAATTCGTAATGCGGTTCTATGACTTCGTACATGACTACATGAGAGAAAGAAATGTTATCGACAGAAGCATATGTTTAAATGCATTGTAATATCTTGTGACT